TTCCCTATTTTTCTTTTTTTTTCAGCTTTACCAAGAAGGATTCAAATAGTGAATGCATTTCACCTATTTGGAGTTCCTAGGCAACGCAGCTTCCTTGCAGCTTGTCCATTTGGGCAAATCAGAGTTCATACATGGCTGTGCCTCTCTCCTTTGGTCAAGGAACATAGCAGGTGACTTTAATAGTGTGATAGTTCCATCCAGTTTGGAATCCTGCAAAATAACAACATATTATTCTAGTGGGTCTAAAAAACCGTTGTTACTGAAGCTGGGGGAGTAGAAAAGAAGGAACGTATTCTGAGTATCCTCTGCATGTGTCTGCCCACTCATAATTGGAGCAAACCCCACATAAGCACAAAGAAGAGGGCATATACTTGACAAAGAATATGATTTGTATTCAGTGTTTATATTTATTGCAGAAACCTTTACTTGAGTCTGGTGCACGGATTGCCCGGGGATGAGTCCCCCTGCATTTACTAGTGTTTTCCGAGGCACAACGGAGACGCAGATGTCGTTCAGAACTACGAATCCCAGAATGCCCATTTCCCCACTTTTATCTCGCGATAATCTCGAAGAGTGAGACCAACCAATCTCTTTATGGCGGGCCTGTAGTATTAGCCAATTAGAAGACGAGTAGGCTTCCGGAGGCGGGTGGCGGGATTGCCCCAGATTTGAATTCCGCAAGTTGGCGGGGCCGCGGGGATTCGGAGGGGGGCGTTTGTTTGGGGCAGTGCGGATCCTGTAGGGAAGGCGGCGGGACTCAGGCCTACCGGTGCAGGTGAGGGAGGTAGGCGTCGGGGTGCAACAATATTCTCGACCCACCGGTGGAGGCGGGGTGTGTGTTTTCAGGACGGCGTTTGGGAGGTGCGTGTTTTGCTGCTTGGGCCTCGGGGCCTTTTGGGAATTGGGAGCATCGAAACCAACAGGTTCTGGATTTCACTGCACGAAATGTCTTTGGCTCTCCTGGGAAGGTTTTAGCGTCACAGAGCTGGGACCTGGAGTCTCCCAAGATGTTGTTACGAAAATGATACTGGGCCCAGGGAGTCGAGTGACTTGTTCATACCCTAGATTGAACCCACTGAACTCCCACCCCAGTCTGCATGTAAAAATTTTGTTTTTAAGGTTCTTCTCATAGGGCGCAAGCGCTCTCCAGAGAAGAGAGAGACAGAGAGAGAGAAAGAGAGAGATCAGCCCCCCAGGGGACAAGGCCATGCCTCAATCCCTTTTTCTTCATTCTTCTTTTGGATTTTGGGCGCAAACACTGATTTTCAAGCCCCTGAGGTGATCCTCGAACCGCGGTGGCCACGGACTCCAGTCACCTTAACCACTACATCACCTGCTGGCCCCTCCAGCCTGCATTTTAACTGTTACCTTCTCTGTTCCGCGATGGAGGTGTGGAGTCTTATCCTATGGGAGAGGGCCGCTTGGCCACCTGGCAATTCAGGTTAGAATCTGGAAGGGAACTCTTAAATTAGCCATTATGCTTGTGGTTGAAACAGACTCAGTCACTTTTTCGCAGGGTCCTACAACATCCCATCCTGTGCAATTACTTGTTTTACCAGTCCTTCAGAGGTAGTTTATGCTGCATCTTAACCACAGTTAAGCCCAGGTGGCTTGTTCTGTCCTGGAATATCTAGAGTTGAATGGTAAGTCATTTAACTGTTTTCCAGCAAAAGTCAAACCGTCAAAATATCCTTGATCAAAATACCTGTCCTGGAATATCTAGAGTTGAATGGTAAGCCATTTAACTGTTTTCCAGCAAAAGTTAAACCGTCAAAATATCCCTGATCAAAATAGGAGGCAGCAAGATCTCTAGAGGAGAAGGGATTGTGGCATGGCCATCTCCCCCTTACCTCAACCTCCTCCCCTGTGTGATTTCTCCTTTTCCACCTCTGTCTCTGAGCGAGCGCATGTGCCCTATAGCTAAGATCTCTCTTAAAAAAAAGACATATGTGGCTGGTTTTATTTCCGTATTTCTTAAAAAATACAATGTGTGTTCTGTATGTTTTGTAGAGCTGTCTTACAAAATGGTAGAGGACGAACTGGCACTATTTGATAAAGGCATAAATGAATTTTGGAATAAATTCAGAAGTACTGTCAGTGACACTTCCTGTCAGATGGTGGGGCTACGAGATGCCTACAAGGATTCTATTAAAGCATTTGCAGGTACCTTAAACTTATAATATGCCATTTTGCTGTTCTTGTTTTTATTTTTTTAATGGTATTTCAGTTGAATTGATACTTCAATTTCTCTTTCAGAAAAGCTGTCTGTGAAATTAAAGGAAGAAGAGCGAATGGTTGAGATGTTTCTGGAATATCAAAATCGTATGTGAAAAACTAGATCAGAGTTTTTTAGATTAAATATCTTTATCATAAAATCCCTTGTACAAATAAGACAATGCAGTGTGTGTGTATGTGTGTGTTTTTATGCATTCACATATACACTCATGTAAAAAGCCAAAAACATTTATGTACTCATGACTTAGCTTAATACATGGAATGTCTTTGCCCAGCCTTTGTGGCACAGTCTGCAGTGTACTGAACTTCAATGCTGGAACCTACATGCTGACTTTGGGTTCAGGTGACTGGATTGTCCAACATCCAGAGGAGCTGGAGGGTTGGGGGAAAGATTGTGGCATGAGACCCTCAAAAGGATGCTCACTTGCACGCTCACATACATTTGTTTGCTCCTCAAAACAAAAGGGGAGAATAGATCACCCCAAGTTATTATGCTTCCCAACTTCTATACCTTACCTATTCATTTTTTTGTTCTGGATTGTGTTTTTAAATGTTATCTAAATGAGATCACATGTGTTCTTTCCTTTTTTTTCACTCAGTATTGTACTTGTGAGATTTATCTATGCTGATGTATATATTTTCTTTAGTTTTTTGGAGAGGCTTTTTTGCTATAGGGCGCATCCGCTCGCCAAAAAGACAGAGAGAGAGAGAGACAGAAAGAAATCACCCCCCAGTGGGGACCGAAAAGAAAACGACCCCCCCCCCCCCCCCCCCGAGGGGGATGGCCATACCGCAATCCCTTCTCCTCCATTCTCCTCTTGGAATCTTGAGCATGCATGCACACGTGCCCGGTGTGAGTTTAAGCCACCGAGCCGGGACTCGAACTGAGAGTCCAGCGTCATAGCCATTACGCTAACTGCTGGTCCCCTATGCTGATGTATAGATAATCATGCCCTGTGACTGCTTCTCTCATCTCTTCTGTAACCTCTGTAAAAGCAAAAGCCTCTTTGATTTTAAGCATGAGAAAGAGAGAAGCAGAGAAATGTTGCATTTGATTTTTTCCACTTTGAGAGTATTTTATTGCATTACTAAATTCTTCAAGAATGAATTCCATTTTACTTGTATACCATGTTTTTAAAACTTTTTTACTTATTAGACAGGATGTTTTCAGTTTTTCATCACTATTAACACTGAAAAAATTTTGTATATAAATATTGGGTTGCCTGAAAAGTCATGATACATTTTTGCATAGAAAACCACAGAGGGGCTGGTAGGTGGCATGGTGGATGAGACACTGAACTCCCACGTGTCTGACCACAGTTCAAGGCCTGAACCTGGCAGTTTGCTTTCTCGCTCTCCATTTCTCTCTGTTTCTTTCTGGTCCAAATTGAATAATGATAATAAATAAAACTAAAAATAAATAAATCTTTTTAAAAAAAAGAAAAACATAGAAAAAAAATCATGACTTTTCTGACAACCCAATATTTGCTCATATCCTGTTTTTCCAAGGGTAACTTTGTAAACATGAAGTTCCCAGATCAAAACACATGGATATCTTTAAGATTCTTTTGTTTTACAGTATTATAGACAGATTTAGCAATTACTTCTATTAGATCTTTCTTTGCCGTCTGTAGTCCCCTAATTCTATTGTGACTACATTAAATATCGAAGTGAATTTGGGGAATACTGACTTCTTAAAAATATTTAGAAGCCTAAAATGTCATTAATATCCAGGTCAAATATGTGTCTCAGGCACATTTTACAGTTTTTCTCATATAGAGTCTGCCCACTTCTTGATCTAGGAAATTCCTGAATGTTTTGTTTGTTGCTACCCTACTACTTAGGGAAGTCTAGTCTTAAGAGATACTAAGCAAGCACTGAGAATCCCATGCCTACTTTAATCCGAGAAACATATAGCATATATATTTTCATTTTGAAAACTCATGGTATTTAAGATCCTCAAAAGTTCTGTGTTAGACTAACCTGTTTACCTTTTTTTTTTTTTTTTTTTTTTTTTTTTTTTTTTTTTTTTTTTTTTTTTTTTTTTTTAAATTGCTGGAGGGTGTGTGCATTCACCAGAAAGAGAGAGAGCACTCTCTAATGGGGAGTTGTGCTACAATCCTCCATTCCTTCTGGCAGGATTTTGCACAGGTGTCCAGGATGATTTTCAAACTGCTGGACTGTTATTCAAACTGTGGTCAGCCATGGGGGTTCCAGCTGCTGAGTCAGAATGCTTAGCTACTACTGTGCTGTGGGCCAGCCCTAACTTGTTTACTTTAGAAAATATCCTCTAAAATTACTTATCCTTAAAACCATGTTTACTTGTAATTGTAATTCAATGTCGATATTAATATTTTGGCTAATTTAATGTAGTGCTGGGCTGCAACTATTAACAGTATTTTATTTTAAAGTGTTTATATTTCACTTAAATATTAGTAAAGTTAAATATTTAATTCAAAAATTCGTAGGCATGTTATAAAGCACCCTTTGAGCTCAGCTGGCTCTGTTTCTTTGACTTCTGTAACCTGTCCTAGAGTTCTTAAACTATTAGTCCCTCCTCTCCCTGTGTAGCCTCCCATTTGGCACTCTGGGGACCCATGTCTCTGGCAGTGGGCACTAAGTAGCAGCAATTCTATTTGTTTTCCAGCCAATAGAGGAAGGAGTAACCCTGTTGAGATATTCCTTTTCCTAGTACAGAGGTCTGACCAGGTTGATGCAGACTTCGTCATTGTTTTGGGGATGTATGTGAGAGGTGTGGGTAGTTGCAGAAGCTGTATTTAAGAGAACTGGAAGGGCTTATGAGGACAGGGATATGGACACAAAGAAGGCAGGCAGGATGGAGGGATTAAAGCCGAGAATGGGAAATGAGGTGCTAGTCAATGTTTGAGATAGCTATCAAAAGCTAGTAATTTGGAATTTGAATAGCAAAAATGAATATTAGTTATTAATATTAGCAAGAGTAATTTTTCTCACTTATGGAATAGTGATTGATGTTATGAGAGCCAATAGTTTTCAGTAGATTTTCAAAAGATTTTTCTGAGTATTCTAGATAGATGTATATTATCTACATACAGTTTGAGTATCCTTAATGCAAAAATCCAAAATCTAAAACTAAAATCTAGAACTTTTTGAGCACTGACATGATCACACCTGACTTCACATACAAGCTGAGTCAAAATGCTGTAATAGAAAAGTATTTTATAAATTTACCTTTAGCCTTATGTGTATAAAGTGCATATGAAACATGAATAAATTTCACATTTAGACGTCGGTCCCATCTCCAAGATATCTCATCTACCTGCAAACGTTTCAAGATCTGAAATCCAAAGCACTTCTGGTCCCAACCCAAGAGAGATGCTCAACCTGTATAATGAAGACCGTCTTTTCCTTTCTAACAGTTTACTGGTTATATAACTTGTGTTGGCTAGAAATGTCTATGGAAAATGTTAAATGACAATGACAGACATTCTTGTTTTACTCCTTTTAGAAATGCCTTTGTGTTTCACTTTAAGTATATTAGGAAATTCAAAAGGTTTTTATTTTGCTTCTATCAAAAGAAATGTCCCTCTATTTCTGGTTTAAGGAGAAGTATCAGAAGTGATATGAATTTATATGAAATATCTCTGCAGTCATGTGATTTTCCTAATATTATGCCTTCACTATATATCCTTAGAATAAGTCATATTTACTCTTAGTGTATTATTTTAAGTGTAAGTTAATATTCTATTAAGCATATCTAGACCTATGTTTTTAAGTGAGACTGGTTTGTGTGGTTGTGGGTAGAGGGACAGTGCTATCTTTATTGAGTTTTAGTTTCAGAATTATGCTACGTTTTTAAGATTTGCCTGCTTGCCTGCCTACTTCCCTGCTGTCCATCTTTTGCTATGTTGTGGAGTAATTTATGTAGCATCAGGATGAGCTATTTCTTCAAAGCTCTGTATAAAGCCATCTTTTAGAGTCTGGTTGTCTTTGGTGGTGGGTTTTATATTTATTGGACAAGGGAGCTACAGGGATTGTGCTCTTCTGATTTTCTATTTCTGGTTTAATTTGGTATTTTCATTTTAAAAAGTATTTTCGTTTCCTCATTTTTGATTTTCAAAGATAAGTAGGAAGGATTAGGATTTCTTTTTGGACTTTAGAAGCTTTTGAGTTATTAGGAAAGCTTATCAGTGAAAGCATCTTTACTCATCTTGTGAAAGTCAATAAATTTTGTTTTTTTTCCTTAGATACATGTCAGAGCAAAGTGTATGTATTCTAGCTAATACCTTGTGTTTCTCACAGAGATCTGCAGGCACAATAAACTCATTCAAGAAAAAAAGGAAAACTTGTTTAAGTTGGTTGCTGAAGTAAAAGGCAAAGAGCAGGAACTGGAAGCACTGGCTGCAAACATTCAGGACCTTAAGGAAGAATATTCTAAGAAGAAGGAAGGTAAGTCTCTGGTTGTAAACACCTTTAAAACATTAAATTCCAAAGTGGTGGTGATTCTTTTTTATTTTTGAATAATTACCGGTGGGTTTGCGTGCTCACTAGAGAGAGAAAAAGCGTGTACTCTCCAGTGGGGTCTGGTCATGCTGCACTCTCTTCTCTGTTTTCTCTATCTCCAGGATTTTGGACATGCATGCCCATGTGCCTATCATATTTTCCAAGGCCAGGATTCAAGCCATGTTAGCCATTTGGGAGCCAGCTTTCCAGGCACAACACTTAATGGTTGTACTATAGCCATTATATAGCCTGGATTATTATATACTTCTGACCTGTTCCAGCTGGTTGCTCAGCCAGTCATCCCTGCAAAGTGTCAGTAAAGTTAACTCAGTGAGTTTTCTTCTCATTTTAATTAAAGGACGTTCTTTGATTTCTAATGTAATCAGAATCATAATGAAGTCAATATGAGGGTTTAAGTAGTAGGAGACCGTATCACTAAATAAAATTTACATTGCTGAAATTTCCGTGTGATTTTTACAATATGCAATGTTTATTGACCACTACTGTTCTCTGCCAAATAAATATTAAGCATTCATTATGCTGGAAAGTTTTTGTCTCAAAAGTTTTCATATTCAAATGAATGCTTCCTTTAGAAAGAAGCAGTGTTGAGACCAGGAGATGGCTTAATGGTTATGTTGCTGGACTCCCACATTGACTATGGTTCAAGTCCTGGACCCACCGGCTTAAAACTCACACTGGCCGTGTGTTTGTGCATGTGTGTACAAAATCCCGAAAGGAGAATGGAGGAAAAGGGATTGCAGCGTGGCCATTTCCCTCGGGGGAGGGGGTGATTTCTCTCTGGTGAGCACACGTACCCTATAGCAAAAATCTCTTTTTTTAAAAAAAACTAAGATCACTATTTGCCCATAAACTAAGTAATTCTTCAGATCTCTTGAAAACAGCAGTTTGCTATGTTACTGCTTGTTCTTACAGAGTTTTTGTGCATATGTAAATTGCGTAATTATTTTTTTCATCTGCTAAATATTACTTAGGGGCTGTAGTGCTAACTTAAAATGTTCTGAACTAGTGTGAAAGGAGGCTGATTTCTAATGAAATAGTTATGCTTATAGGAATAGTGTTTTTCCCATGAAGCAATGAATATATCCTTTATTATCCAGATAAAAAAAGAAAACAAATAGTATAAAGGATGCCTTGCTATTTCTATACTAGCCATGTAATCCATGGCCTCTTTATTAATCTACATAATAAAATAGAATAAAACTTATTTCTCTTATAGCTATATGGTTTTTTTTTGAGAATTAGTCCTTCCAACTTGAATGAACAAAAGCCCTCCTTGTCTATTAATAGGTATAAAAACTGAATAAATATAAGCAGATTCATAAACCTGTCAGCATTTTAAAGTTGTTTTCAAGTTTTTTTTAATTAATGAACATTGAATTTTATTTAAAATGTTTGATGTTATATGTATTTCTTTTTAAAAGCTATTTCCACTGCTAACAAAGCTAATGAAGAGAGGTTGAAAAGGCTGCAGAAATCTGTAGATTTGTATAAAGATCGACTTGGACTAGAAATTAGGAAGATTTATGGTAAGTATATGTCAATATAACTAAAACATAGGAGGTTTGAAAAGTATGTCTTAAGTCAAAATTTTTTTCATCTAAAATCATGACCACTATCAAAAGACAAAACCACAACAATTAAAGACCTTAATTAGCTTTGTGATTCTAGAATCAGGAAATACTTCATCCCATAAAATAGAAATGTTCTGATATGCTTTACAGAAGAAGTTTTCTGAAAAGAATTATTTATTTTATTCCATTTGTTATTATTACTTTTTAATTTGGTCAAAGAGAGAGAAAGAGAAAGAGAAAGCAAGCCACCAGGTCCAAGAATTGAACCATAGTCAGCCTTATGGGAATCCAGCTCCTTTAACTACCATGCCACCTGCTGGCCCCAAAGAAGAGATTGGTTTTATTGACAGAGAAGTGCTGAAGAAAGCAGAAAGAAGGAATAACAAGTGGATTGGTCACTTCAGAGTAACCTGCCATATAAGGGAGACAAAACAGAAAAATTAAGGATTACAGGAAAGGAAACTTACTGAAACTGGCTTCTTTGGGATATTTACTGTTATCTCTTGTTCTCCTGATTTCCCAGAAGGTGACATGAACAGCTTAATTTCAGTTTGGTGATGTAGAACTTTAGTATGAGTGATTCCATTTTGATTTTTTAATCTGGTCTGTTGGCACTTAGTGTACGAGCTTAATTCAAAACAGTGGCTTCCTTTAATTTTAATTTAGTGCCACATTACTAACTTTTAGAAAATGGGAAAAATTATAATTTTTTTATCATTCTAACATAGTTACTGATGTTTTCGTTATTTATCATCTAGTATCTTAATAATGTGCTTTTTGCGTTGTCAACATGCAAATTTTTTTCTTACTGGCATTGTATCACTAGCTAGTATTTCTCTAGTTGCTATAAACCTTCATAATAGTCATTTTGAATGGTGGTGTTATAATTCATTCTATTAAGGTAGCATGATTTCTTCAATCCTTTATATGTAATTTAACACATATATTGCCTCTGACACCATTTCGATTGTGTCTTTTTTTTTTCTGTTTTAGGAATTCTACAGTGAACATAGACTTTCTCATTTTTTTGGTTTGATTTTCCTAAAATTGTTTCCTAGAGAAGAATTACTGGGTTTAAGCACTTGGATATTTTTATAGCGGTTACATGTATATGTGCTAATTTACAATGCCTATTGTGTTGGAGCTGTATAAACTTCCCTTATAGAACTCAGAATGTAGGTACATGGGACAATGTCCAGAGAAAACTAGTATACGCTCTTAAGAATCCTAACCCAGTGGTCACAAGATGAGTTTAATTACGTTACTGTTGAATTACGACAATGCATGTGAAATGTTACTAGAAAGCCCATTAGAAACTTTGGAAACTTGTGCTTGGTTTTCCTTGGACTTTACCCCATGCATCTCTTCCCTTGCTGAGCATACTGTGTGCTTCTGCTGTAGTAAATCATAGTCCTGAATATGACCATGTGCTGAACGAGCCCCAGTTCTTTTGGAGAATTATCAAACCAGTGTGGCCTGGGAACCTAAACACACTAGCCAAGAGCCAACCGTGCAAGTAGGCCTTTCCAAGGTTTTGTGGGTAGTGGTCTCAGGCCTGCTATGGTAGCTTTAATGAGCATCTACCTACAGTGTACCAAAGAATCAATTTTTATTGTATTCTTCCCAGAGTTATTTATTTATTTATTTTTGAGAGGTTTTTACTATAGGGCGCATGCGTTCACCAGAGAGACAGAAAGCAAGAAATCACCCCCCACCCAGGGAGGATGGCAACACCACAATCCCTTCTCCGTTTTCTCAGGATCTTGGGCATGCATGCACATGTTCCCGGCATGAGTTTAAGCTACCAGGTCCGGGACTCGAACCGTGGTCAACTACATGGGAGTCCAGCGACATAGACATTATGCTAACTGCTGGTCCCAGTTTTCTGTTTTTGTTTTTTAAGAGATTTTTGCTATAGGGCATATGTGCTTGCTGGAGAGATGGAGAGATGGAGAGGTAGAGAGGAGGAGAGAAACCACTCCCTGGGCAGATGGCCACACTGGAATCCCTTCTCCATTTTCCTCTCAGTATTTTGAACATGCAGGCACCCATGCCTGGTGTGAGTTTCAAGCTGCCAAGTCTAGGACTTGAATCATGGTGGGCCATGTGGGAGTCCAGTGCGGCAACCACCATGCCATCTACTGGCCCTCTATTTTTTGTTTATTAATGTGCTTTTTTTGTAATATTTAACTTAAAGGTGATCAACCACTTCTGGCCCAGCGAGTTGGAACAAGTGGTAGAGCACTAATGTGCAATGCCTTAAACTGCATGTCAAGGCCTGGTTCTCTCCCTGCCCACTTAAACAGGCCAGCACAGTAGTACATGTCTGTGGTCCTAGCTAACTGGGATCCCAAACTGGCAAGACCCTGTCCAAATTACCTAACTCAACTCTATTCCCTTTCCCTTCTTTCTCTCAAAAAAAGTGACCTTTTTTTTTTCCCTCATTTGTTTTCTAATTGTATTTCTTTCTTTGCTTGAGTCCTTTTTCCATATATCTATTGGTCTTACTTTGTCAAAGCCCTCAAGATCAAGAAATAATGTTTTAAGGAAGAGAAAAATCCAAATTAAACCCTTCATTTTGCATAACTGAATATCATATAAAATCTTTCTCTGGCATGTATCCCTCCCATTGCTACTAAAACTTTACAGATCTGCTGTACAGCATAATTATTTCATTTTGAAGTTGAATGCAAGGCACATTTTTGAAGCTTCTGAACATTTTTATAATTAAAAGAATCTTTAATGAGATTTTTGAAATTTTTATACTATAGAAAACTAAATTGCCTGTGAATTTATACCTTATTGCCATTTTGAATTTCTCCCAGATATTTACTCTTTTGGGAGCATTTGGAAGTGTTTAGAAAATAGAGTATAGTAAAGTCCAGATAACTAGTAGGTCATTGGGAAAGTCATGACATTTTCTTTTTTTTGGAGAGGTTTTGCTATAGGGCGTGTGTACTCGCTAGACAGACAGAGAGAGACAGAGAGACAGAAAGTGAGAAATCACCCCCTAGTGGGGATGGCCACGCTGCAATCCCTTCTCCTCCATTCTCCTCTCGGGATCTTGGGCACACACACACACACACATGCCCAGCGTGAGTCTTAAGCCACCGGGTCCGGGATGCGAACCACGATCAACTACATGGGAGTCCAGCGACATAGCCATTATGCTAACTGCTGGTCCCTATTCTAGATATTTTATACAAGGGGAGTCATGCAGTATTTGTCCTTTTGCCCTGGCTTATTTCACTTAATATGCTTTCTTAAGGTTCCTCCATGTTGTTTGTGTCAGAACTTGATTCCTTTGTATGACTAAACAATATTCCATTGTTTATATATACTACACTTTGTTTATCTATTCACCTGATAGACACGGGATTGTTTCCAGCTTTTGCTATGAACAGAGCTGCTATGAACATTGATGTACAGTTACCTGTTTGAGTCTTTTTCTTTCAGTTCCTTTGAGAAATATACCTAGGAATGGAATTATGAGGTCATAGTATAGTTCTGCATTTAAGCTTTTGAGGAACTGTCAAACTATTTCTGTAGTAGCTGCACCATTTTATCATTTTACATCCACCAACAATGTACAAGGGTTCCAGTTCCTCCATATTCTGTTGTTGTTTTTTAATAGCCATTCTATTAGGTGAGAAATGGTATTTCATTGTTGTTTTGGTTTTCATTTCTCTAATGAATAATGAAGCTGAGCATCCTTTCATGTGCTTACTGACTATATATATTCAAGTCCTTCGCCCATATTGGATTGGGTGGTTTTTCTGTTTGTTTTGTTGTTGTTGTTCTATTGTAGGTGTTTTAAAATATATTCTTTGTATTCAACTGTTAGCAGTATATAATTTGCAAATATTTTCTCCCATTGTCTGTTCATTCTCTTAATAGAGTGTTCTTTAAAGAACAATTTTTTCATTTTAATGAAGTTCAGTGTTTTGTATTTTTATAATTTTATCTGTGTTTTTGGTGTCACAATTTAAATAACAATATAGTTTAAGATTAATTTGTAGCTTCTACATTTGGAAACATTAAGAGAATATAAATACTTAATACAGATATTAATCAAAGGGCGGGGTAAGTCAGCTTATCTCTGTTGAAAACTTAGGCACACTAGAAAATTCTCATACTAAATAATTTAATTTCCTTTTTCAGGTGATAAATTGCAGTTTATATTCACTAATATTGACCCCAAGCATCCTGAGAGGCCATTTATGTTTTCCCTGCATCTAAATGAAGCAAGGGACTATGAAGGTATACACTTAATCTCTTAACTGGTATTTAAGATTGGCACCCACAATATTATTTGAATTGGAATATAAAGTAATGTGAAGTAATGTTTTCACATGCTGTTGCCTCCCTTTTCAGTCTTGCTTCTTGAGTTATTGTCTTCTGAAAGATGTGAGTATAATTTGATTGATAGTTATGTAGGTGCCAGAATAAGTAATATCTCTTCAGGATAGCAGTGCCACAGTAGCTGAAAAGTCTAAAAGACCAAAGATCACTGCTTTCCATGTGCGAATGTGAACTGTCTTAATGGATAACCCAAAGTGAAACCTATGATGGATATGGCTACCTAAATATGAATAGTGTGATTTACCTAAGTAGGTGATTTGAAAATCTTGTGTAGGGTCAGTTGGTCAAGTGGTAGGTAAGGCAACTGGATCCCACATAGCCAGTTTGAGTCCCAGACCCAACACCTTGATGAGCATGCTGGGCATGTGTGCATGCATACATCAAATTCCCAAAAATAAATTTTGAAAAAACAGTCTCATCATGAAATTACCATGCATTAATAATGTACGTTAAGGGACCAGCAGTTGGCGTAATGGCTATGTCACTGTACTCTCATGTAGTCGACCACAGTTTGAGTTCTGGACCCAGTGGCCTGAACTCATGCCAGGCACATGTGCGTGTGTGCCCATGATCCTGAGAGAACGGAGGAGAAGGGATTGCGGCATGGCCATCCTCCGTGGGGGGTGATTTCTCACTTTCTGTCTCTCTGTCTTTCTGGCGAGTGCATGCGCCCTATAGCAAAAACCTTTCCAAAAAAATAAATAAATAAAAATGTAAGTTAATTACTAATTCCACAGCAAGAAATGTGGTCTTTGATTTATCAGGAATATATATGATTGGCAATAGTGTGAACAAGAAGTGTGTAAACATATATTTATCTTTTTTGTTTTTCTTAAGTAGTCCTTAATTTATTGGAATTCCTAAGAAAGAGTTTTATACCTATGTTATTATCTAAAGCATGTATAGCCAACAGGCACTCAGGTGACTTGCTAAATGGCTGTCTCGTGTGCCTTGGTGACTCGGTTTCTGTTCTTACGGAATTTACATTTTGGAAATCTAATTTACATACAAGTGTTTATTTTTGTCTTATTTAGGCAAATATCTTCTAATCTAGTGTTGGGTTTTTTTAGGTTTTTACCATAGACACATGACTCACTGGAGAGAAAGAGAGAAAGAGAAATCACTCCCTGGGAGGATAGCCAGACCGTAGTCCCTTTCTCCATTCTCTTTCCTCAGGATTTTAGGCACAAACCCCAGCATGATTCTCAAGAACTCAGGATTTTAGGCACACACCCCAGCATGATTCTCAGGAAACCAGGTCTAGGACTTGAACTGTGGTTGACCATGTAGGAGTCCAGTAGCTTTGCCACTGCCAGCTGCTGGCCCCTAGTGTTAGATTTTAAAAAGGAAGCTCCAAAAACCTTTTACTTAGCTTTTTAATTTTCTCTAAATTGGATACCCTTCATTACTATAAAATCTCATAGTATTTGCTAATGTATTAAAAATATAGGATAGATTTTGAACCAAGTGCCCTTTGCTCTTTTTCTCTGCTGTGATCGTAGACCTTGTGTCCTAAGCAATCTCTCCAAAAGTGGGAGAAATCTGACGTGGTTTAGTAGCTTCCTCTTGATAAAGGATAGGATTCATGGTAAGGAAAACTAGATGGTTCTTTGCCTTTTATCATTCCCACTGGAGACACTCTTACAGTGTACCAGCTTCTACAACCGAGTTCAAGGACCTTACTGTTTTTCATGACAGAGAGTCTTATTTGATTAACAGGCCCTGTAAATAGCACTCTTGGGATAGTAACTGTGTTCCGTTTCACTTGCAGAACTTCAGATACTTCTAAAGTCAGTTATTCTATGTTGTTCAGGATTGGCATTGAAAGTTGTTCTTTTTTTTTTTTTTTTCATTTTAACCCAACAGCTAGAAACCAGCAATCAGTCATGCCAAAGTTTTGTAGAGAAAAATAACAAAATGAAATGTTTGGTTTAAATAGTTAAAGCAAAACGCACAGGTTTAAGATGATGGAAAATGGCATTCTGTTTCACTCCTAAGCTTTTCCATCCCTTGACTGCCATCTGTTTAAGTTTAAAGCAAGATTATAATACTTAAGATTTGAATATGTAGAAAATAAATAGAGGAAAGGTCCAAAGATAGTTAGCATATGAAAATTAAGTGTATCATTTTATGTTCAAAGCAGTTCACTAAAATGGAGTTGATATTCAGATCAAATGAGAGCACGTAACTTAGAAATACCTCCCTCTCATAAAAAATCCTCAAATTTTCTTTTTCTTTTTTTCCTTCTAGTGTCAGATTGTGCTCCTCATCTTGAGTGCCTAGCAGAATTTCAAGAGAATGTAAGGAAGACCAACAATTTCTCAGCTTTTCTTGCCAATGTTCGGAAAGCTTTTACTGCTCTGGTTTACAATTAACGTGTAAATAGTATGTAAAAATGGTTTAATTTTCTTTTCTATTGTGTTTCTCTTTTTAAAAGAATTCTCATTTTCTATTGTCTGCCTATACTTTGGTGTTTTTGTAACATTTTTGTATGGTGTGTTTCCTTAAGTTATTTTTATTAAAGTCTTAGAAAACAAATGAAGTAAAATGTGTTCTTTTTCAAATGGAAGCTAATACACTTTATTTTTTGTTTAAATGACAGGCCTGGGGAGTTTATCGCAACCTTAAGAATGGAAATTTGTACAACCTGCACTGTTTTTCAGTGTCTCCTAGATTTAGATGGTCATGGAATCTTTTTTTTTCCTTTCTTTCTTTTTTTGGAGAGGTTTTTGCTATAGGGCGTGTGCACTCGCAAGAAAGACAGAGAGAGACAGAAAGCGAGAAATCACCCCCCAGGGGGGATGCCACGCCACAATCCCTTCTCCTCCATTCTCCTCTCGGGATCTTGGACACGCACGCACACGTGCCTGGAGTGATGGACTCTTAATATTACAAAATTAAAGGGTGGGCCCAACCTAGGGTAGGCAGTTCTTAAAATGTACTTGGCAAAGTAAATATTACTATCTAAGGTCATCCTAATGTCATAAAAGAATATTTTTAACTCACACCAAGGGAGATCTACAGTTGCAATAAAGGACGGATCCTTCACATCAGAAGAAAGTTGGCAGTGGTCTAAGATATCCAGAAAAGGATATGTTATTGAAAATCCAAATGTAGAAATTTATAACCAGATTCCATTCTGTAATATTTATACAGTTGCAGCCCAGATGGGTTTATCTTCTCTTATCATAAGCTTATCATCTATTTGCTACAGACAGCTTGTATGTCGAGCCTTTCTGGGGTTTCACTTTCACCACTTTGTAAATTGGTTGTATTTGGGTATGCTGGCTATAATGGAAACCATGTAATGTTGTTTTAGGATATCTTGGGCACACTTAAGAGGCATGGAACCATGCCTTCCATGTCTCCAGTTGTTTCTGCTTTTTCCCTGCATAGTCTAGGAGGGACACTAAGGCCAGTTTAGTTTGTGACAATAGGAAGGGAGTTTCAGGATATCCTCTCAGTGGCCACTCACACAGAAGACCTGGCTCTTGGCTTGGTTCACCATCATGTGACAGCAGAACTTAGAAGGAGGTTATGCACTGGTGGAAATATCACTGACCCATGCCAGGGTAACCAGCTTTTAGGAATCACTGACTAGTGGTGTTCCTGTACACATTAAAAGACTAATAAATTGCCCTAACTTTTAGAATGTGTGCTACTAGAATAGGATTATCCTATTTCAGTTTGGGCTTGGTTAAGGGATATTTTTACAGAGGGAGTACAGTGAGCAAACTCTCCAGTTTTCCTAGGCAGACATGCACATTTGGCCTAATTTATTTGATGTACCTGTATGTAAATGAATATGTAAAACCACATTAAAACCCAACTTTGGTTTTGTAGACTTAATTTGATTTAGAGTTAAAGTTCTATCAGCAGGTTCTATTTCTTAGCTCTTCTGGACTGAGGCTCCACATGGTTGACCTCAGCAACTTTAAGCTTCTCCTAGTTCCTGAAGAATTACTGGTGATCAAAGAATAAAATACATGGGATTATACTAGATACCCCTAAAATCCAGGTGTGGAGACAGATTAACCTCAATTATTGGCCTAAGAGTGGAAATGTTATAGTTCTCTCGAGGGAAAGAAAGACCAGACATTTGGCATATAAAATGTCAGATAGACTACCTCAGTGAGTATATATTTACTGAATTCCTGCACTTGAAATATACCTACATGGGGCCCGCAGGTGGTGTGGTGGGTAGGGGCACTGGACTTCCACATGGCTGATCACGGTTCAAGTCCTGGACCTGGTGGCTTGCTTTCTCACTTTCTTCTCACTCTGGTCAAGTTAAATAAATAAAGCTAAATAAAACTAGGGAGAGATCATATCTCACACTACAAACTATTTTAGTCTATTTATTTCCTTCTTTCAAGATAGAGACATCCTCAATAGGGTCCCCATACCACAATCCACCCTTAGTGACCCGGATCACTGATGTTCACGTGTGTGCCCCCAGCATGCTCAGAGGTGTCCCAGGACCCTTCCCACCTGGCCCTTAATGCTAAAACTTGTCAGTACAATGATTTGAAGCATATAGTGAAAAGGCACTGGGCATTCACAGCTTGCTTTGGCAAGAGAGTTCTTAAGGATCTCTTTAACCTGCAAGTTGGAGAAATACTGGTTTGGGATGAGAGAAGAAATAGGTAGATCCTCTCTTAGAGCCGACTTCTAAAGGAACAGTCATTCTAACTGGGAGGTGGAGTCGGGACAAGATCTGGGAATGAGAACTTTCATCAGGAAAGTCACAAGGTTAGCATAGGAACCAGCTGTGCTGCTGGGATCTAAAGTTGAACATACAGAGGAAAGGATACGATTATAATGCCAAAGGGCCCTAGTGGAACTTTATTTTCATTTGTTTTCTCAACAGGGCATTTACTGTACTCCAAGATTGAGGTTATCCTAGCAATCTGACTGGGTAGGCTGGCTGGCCACCACAGAGTAATACTTTCTAAGCTCTTCCTAGTGCCCAGCACAGTGTTAAGCCTTTTACATGTATCTGCTCATTTATATTCTCACGACAGCCTGTGAGACAGGTACTATTGAAAACCTTGTTCTGCAATCAGGAATTCAAGATACAGAGAGGTTAGTAACTTCAAGACATACAGCTGTAATTGTTAGAGTTGGGATTCAAACCCAGGTGACTGGCACCTCAATCTGTGAGCTTCGCCTAGATAACACCTTATGGCCTTTCTATTCCATCCTGCAGGTAAAGTACGCAAAGACAAAGTTCGTAATGATTCATTTGAACTTACAGTTTTTAGCTTTTGGGTTTCTATAGAAGCATAGGACTTTTTTTTTTTTAAATTTTATTAATTGTCTTTAAAGCAGGATAAGAATATATTTGTCTGGAGCTTTAGGAAGTAACCTCACTGCTATGACTGAACAGTTGCAGACTTCTGGGAAACCGTATGCAGAGTCCCTTGTGTTTAGCCCCCAGAGGCTCATTGAGTCTAGTGATGTAGACTCCAGTCATCTCCAAGCCTTTATGGAGATGGTGGTGGGAGGGATATTTTCTTTTGCATAAATTTTTAATGTGTTCAGCCAAGTATAAAGGCTTTAATTATTGAAGTTTTACTATGTACCAACCTAGGCATATTCTGGAGTTGATATTAGTATATTAGCATAAGCTTTATAGTTAATGCATTATGAAAATGGTACTTAAATGATTATAATGCATAAGAAAGACGAACCAAGCTATCCTGAATTTTCCCCCCTTTTTTAAAAATTATATTTAAAGTGATATGGGGCCAACAAGTGGCATGGTGAAGGCCCTGGATGCCCACATGGCTGACTCCATGGTTTGAGTTTTGGACTCAGTGGCTTGAGAATCAGGCTAGGTAATTTTACATGGGTACCCCAAGTCCCAAGAGGAGAATGCAGAAGAGATTGAGACATGCCATCCCCCTTGTGGGATTATTTCTCACTTTCCCTCTCACTGCAAATGTAGGTGTCCTACAGCAAAAACAAAACAAAACAAAAAAACACCAAAAAAAGGTATGTTGAAAAATTAAATAACACTTTTAAGCATTTAAAATCTTACCAATGTGGAAATGAAGTACAAGACACAAAGAGATTTTTTTAAATGGGAAAAAATTTGTGTTAGTAGTAAAACAAAGATGGATTCCCAATGGGGTCAACTAATTGTGTATTTTGGAGCAAGATCTCTAAAATTAAACTACACTAAGTTAAAAAAAAAAGAAGAATCAGCACAAAATCTACTAGCATGTTCTACAATTGGTTTTAAAGTTTGTTTCTAAGCTAATGAGAATTAGGAAGTGTTACTTTTCTTCCATTCAGAACAGAGATAATTATGCTTTAATTTGTGTAGTATGATATCAAATTGACTATTTAGCTACCACCTAGTATAGTGTCTGGTACAGTGAAAGCTTAATAAATATTTATTAATGTTGAACATATTATCAAGACTCATTAGAAAATTCTTTAATGGAGAATTGAAATTACACCTTTGAAAAACATCTTGTTCAATGATGACTGCAGGCATGTTGCTGTTTGGGTATTTTCTGAGGGTAAAGAATGGTTTTTGACTCAATGACAACCTGATGAAAAGCAAAGTTAAAGACAATGGTAAAGACTTAGGTTTTCATCTAAGTAGAAAGAGACCATCAGTTAAGTAAATGCACAGAGAATCTACAAGCTATTTAAAACTCAGCTCCTTTCTGGTTGTTGTTAAATATATTGTGGTATGACGTATGTGTGGTGTGGCACAATGAATGTTTCCAATTTAGACACATGTTCTCCCCTTCCCGTAGGCAAGCTGGAAGTACAGGTGAAGATAGATATAACAAATAGAAAAATGTTAAGGAAGGAATTATTTTACTAAAATTAATATTGATAAAAATTTTGGGAAGAGGCAATATTTGAGATTCAAATAAATGTGATTTGTATAATCTTGAATGCTCTAAATTCTCTTTTAAAAAAAACTGTTTTCTGGCACCAGCATGGTATTGTGGGGAAAGCTGAGGATTAAGATATGGTTCAGGTTTTGTTCTATTATTAAAATTGATACATGGACTTGGGCAAGATTTATTTTCCCCCAAAATCAATGGTTGTCTTTTATTGTTGTCTTTAAAATCTCACATAATGGTCTTAGAAACCATTGGCTTGGGACCAGCAAATGGCGTAATGGTTACTGGACTCCCACATGACTGATGCGGTTCAAGTCCCAGACCTGTTGGCTTAAAATTCACACCAGTTGAACTCCCATGTAGTTGACCACACTTCAAGTCTTGAATCTGGCAGCTTAAAACATACTGGGAGTGAGACCAGCAGTTGGCATAATGAGTATGTCACTGGACTCCCATGTAGTCGACTGTGGTTTGAGTCCCAGACCTAGTAGCTTAAACTCACACTGGGCGCGTGTGCGTGCATGCCCAAGATTCCGAAAGGAGAATGGAGAAGGGATTGCAGTGTGGCCATCCCCCTGGGGGGGGG